GCCCACTTTCCTCACCGGCATTGTTCCAGTTGTTCCTCTCACCAGTAGTTCAGCCGTCGCCACCACTGCATCTGGAGTTCCGTTCAGTAGTTGTGTGTAAACAAAAGTCATGGAGACGCCAGCAGAAGGCACCCTGTGAGGACACCAGGCATAGTTCCCCCCTCCTGCGAGTACCTAACACGGACGCGGCCGTCTGTATCGCCTCCCTCCTGGATATACGCAGCGTAATCTAGATAAGCCTAAGGGATGGTGCGTGGAAGTTGTGGACTTATGGAGACGTTTATGTGTGTTTGAGATAATCCCTGGGTGGGTACAGGACGGCGGCTCCGATTCTTAAACATTCCTTCCTTGATATTTTTTCACTCCTAACTTACTGGTGTTGAAAACTCATCCAACTTGCTTACCAGCAACCACACAATGATAACTGACGCAGAATGTTGTCGATATGACACCTCACCTATCGTTACTAGATATGTTTTCTTAACCTCAGTCAAGGGAAGCTTTGAGCACCCCGGGTCCTTCAGTGCATTGTGTGTTGCCTTTCGGTGTCTCCTGCCACCCGCCTATAACTAAACTGATAGTCACACCCATTACCAGGCATTTATGGAAAGCGTAATGTACTCTACGGGTGGGGGTAACACAGTGCACTATCCTTAAGTGTTGTAGCGAAGCTCACTAGAGGACGTCCTACTCCGTGGCGGCCCAAAATGAGTTAGGTGTTCTAAATCACGTTGTTGTATAAGCAAACAGCTGATCAGTGATTGCATCTGAACAGATAGATGAGGGGGTGTTGGGCTGCCGTGAGTGTAGTCTTGGATGGGGCTATTATGGGTTTAATAGTCCCCTGTTGGTGAGTGTGTTGCTACACAAGCTCCTTGACTGCCATTGGTGCTACACAAACAAAGGTCAGGGTGTAGCGGCAGTGAGTAAGAACGCCTCCCCTGACTGCCAGTGGTGCTACATAACACAGGCCAGGGGTATAGGGCGGCCCTAACGTAGCCCCCCCCCCCTTCCCCCAGTAATTGGGCCGACGTTAAGATCATTTCTGGTCCTCAGTGAGCCATAGACGTTGTTTATTACATTGGCTGTGTCAGCTTGGAGAGCGGCGGCGACCCCAACAGTTTTCCCCTGGTAACCGCTGCCTATTTTGTGCTGTTCCCCCACGAGGTTGGTAGCTGGGGTCGGCAGTTTACCTTATGTAGATTTTCCATTCTAACGTTGCGTCATATACCGATATTTTCCCCACTCTCCTCCTCTCTTGGTTTTACAATGGTAGTAAACAAACAAGTATATGTGAGTTCCAGCCTGGGTCCAGAGTTTTATCATGGGATTAAGTGGGGTTTTTATGTAAGAGTATTCAGGGCGTATAAAATCCCTGGGTCAGTATTCATGGCTGTTCATCTGTTTTGTTCTTCTTTGTCTTGAACAAACACGGGGAGGAGGGATGGGAGCCGCTCTGTCGTGTCTCAACCTATCTGGGATTTTTTTACCCGGGGACGTTGGCCATCAAAGGCACGGCGAGGAGCCCTCGTACACACAGTTAGTTTTGTTGAATGTTTCCACTGGAGTGTTGTTGTCTTAGTTCAGTATCCAAGTGGACGGCCTCCGGCACACACTGTGCACACGCGTATACAGGCGGTCTGGCATGTGTACAGGTACTAGAGCGTTTGTACAGGCTACACAACGTGTGCAGAGGCCTCATGAATGGGGCTGTAGACCGTGTAAACAATGGGACGAGAACATTCATGTACCTGGAGACGTGTGTATAGGATATAGGGCCTACTGTGCCCAGTGTATCCGGGTGGCCTAAAAAGTACTTTATATGGATGGACGGGTATGTCTGGGCGATGATAGGTGAACCGGTGTTCAGGCGTACGGGAAGACTGGCTTGTGTATGACCAGGCAGACTCATGCATGGGAGTACGGCTTCGGTTTTAGGAGACGCGAGTACTGTATCTGGTTTACTCTTTTGTTGACGTTATTTCTACGCACCCTGTCTGGCAGTCCGTCGATACTTCCGTCCAATTTTGTTGCTAGATTACGCAACAGATTCAGCACAGATGGCCTCGGCAGATTTACACAACCCATGGAGGTATATATATTCTAAAGGCACAAGACTAATTTGTGATTTTATTCATAAGCATAAAATCACCTCTTACATACTGCGTGTAAGCGGCAGTACACAAGAATTCGTCGTAGAGAAACGAAATTTTGTAGGTTTATCACCTACAACTATAATAAGGAGTAAATTTTCAAGTTATTACATTGATTTAGATTTTTTTTTTTAATCTTCCGTTTTTGGACTTTGATAATATGTGGTCAGTGGTAGGCAGCGTGTTGTACAACCACCACACTTGTTCTTAAAATATTATGGCTATATTCTTCCTCCCTCTTTACTGCTCTTCCTCTATCTTTTTCTATTTTTCCATCATTTGTTTCCGAATACTGAGGTATTCATCTCCAAGGAAATAGCAGCTTTGAAGTTAAAATTTCGCCCTTGCCCTCAAAGGCGAGGATACCCGCTGGCGTCCCTGAAATTGGATCTTTTGCAAGTGGAAATGGTTTTGACTCTGCTGCCTGCCTTGTGGTAAAACAGTGGTAGCAATATCCTGCCACAGTTGTCCCAGGATATGATGTAGTAGTTAACTATTCCTCTTGATTTGCGTGAGAGCGAGGCATAGCTGGTGATATCCTGCCGCTGTGGTATAAGGCTACAGTCATACTTGTAACTCCCGCTCCGCCTTATTCTATTGTGTGGTCAAGACAATGGTACAAATCATGCAGCCAGTTGTGTATGAAGAGGAAGCACTTAAACGGTATTTCACACGTCCCCTGCTCTTTTTTTTTTTACGTGGCCTAGTGTGCAATTAGGTACACGAGGACGTTAGTATATGTCAGCGAATCTGTTGGGTTAGGTTAGGTTAGGTTAGGTTAGGTTGTTGTGAAAGACTGTGTGTCGCCTCTCCCTTCTTTAGATGTATAAAACAGAGCTGGGTAGATTTAGTTGCCTTGAAGAGAAAGAAAGTGGTAGTTGCTCTGGCCTGCCACTCTTATCTGGAGGGCAAAATTTCAATAAATGATACGCTATCCCCAGTTTGCTTTCCTTGTGGATAAGCGTTGTCAGGAATTAAGGACATCAAGTGCCTTTGGTCAGTAATATCAGAGTTTTGTGTTAGGTCGCGATAGTTTATGTTGTATGTATAGCTAACTGGTGTGTGTATGTGTTAAGGGGGTAGTCTTAAGTAGGAGGCTTTGGGAGGGGGGAGGGGGTCAGTGTTTTTGATCAGTTAGTTGGTGGCATCTGCTTAATGCCTGGAGCAGTTTTAAGGGGAAATGCCTTCTTTTTCTGGAGTGTGTGGGGGGGGGGGATGAAGTGGATGTTTGCCCTCTCAACTTCTCATTCCCAGTAACCCTACTGCCCTGTCCCTTCCCTCCCCACTTCTATTCCGCCTCCCTCTGTTGTAACTCTCCCCCAATATTAGCTTCTCTCCCCGTCTGGTATTTCACCCTCAGACATCACAATGCACTGAAGGAATCGTAGTTTTTATTTTAAGACATATTTTAACTTCACGTTTACATTTAATTTAATAAGAGTTTCTATATTTAAATTTCTGTATTTATTGTCGAGTAACAGTTTGAGCTTTAAGAGCAAATCTATTTTTACACCCAATACACTCATGTTTATGTTAGAATACAATTTTATGATTGGGTAGAGTTAACTAATGATGACAGCCTAATTACTGCTGAAATTGATGTCTTGTCACGAGTTGATCATTAATGACGAGGAAGTTCCTGGAGCTCAGGTGACTAGCCACGCCAGCCAGGTCGTTTATGGTGTGGGTAGCCCCTGGTGATGAGTGGGTGGTGTGGGTAGCCAGTAGCCCTATTAATGAGTGGGTGGTATGGGTAGCCCTGATGATGAGTGGGCGGTGTGGGTAGCCCCTGGTGATGAGTAGGTGGTGTGGGTAGCCAGTAGCCCTATTAATGAGTGGGTGGTGAGTGGGTGGTGTGGGTAGCCCTGATGATGAGTGGGCGGTGTGGGTAGCCCCTGGTGATGAGTAGGTGGTGTGGGTAGCCAGTAGCCCTATTAATGAGTGGGTGGTGAGTGGGTAGGATGTGGGTAGCCCCTGGTGATGAGTAGGTGGTGGGTAGCCAGTAGTGAGTGGGTGGGTGGGTAATGAGTGGGTAGGATGGTGGTGGGTAGCCCTGGTGATGGGGGTGGTGGGTAGCCCCTGGTGATGGTGTGGTGATGAGGGGTGTGGGGTGAGCCCTGGTGATGAGGGGTGTGCCAGTAGCCCTAATGGTGGTGAGGGATGGTGTGGGTAGCCCCTGGGTGAGTGGGTGGTGTGGGTAGCCCCTGGTGATGAGTGGGTGGTGTGGGTGGCCCTGGTGATGAGGGTGGGTAGCCAGTAGCCCTATTAATGAGTGGGTGTGGGTAGCCCTGATGATGAGTGGGCGGTGTGGGTAGCCCCTGGTGATGAATAGGTGGTGTGGGTAGCCAGTAGCCCTATTAATGAGTGGGTGGTGAGTGGATGGTGTGGGTAGCCCTGATGATGAGTGGGCGGTGTCGGTAGCCCCTGATGATGAGTGGATGGTGTGGGTAGCCCCCTAGTGATGACTATCATGTTAGTTACACTGCTTGGTTCTTGGGAGTCCTAGATCACTTGACTCTTAAAATACCTCATATATCGTCGCCCCTCGGCTTAATAAATAACACAAGGTATAATTTTTTTACGTTTTATATCGTGGACAGTTTTAGGGACCTTCTTTTGAAGCGATAACATCTCTACCAACCACCAAAATATTGTTATCGTCAGCACAAGGATATTTCGTCGATTTTTTCCCTCTTCACAGACTTATTAATGATGGAAGGGACCAGCGGTGAATTCACTGCGTTCACTGTATGTGTTATTTACTGTTTATTATGACGAAATTGAACCTCAGATGAAATGTATTAACAAGCGACAGGACTAAAGCCGCTGGGTGCCTTGGGGATAATGTTAACTAGGCTGCTTGCATGACCTCCAGCCGAGGTTCAGCCAGGCTTTGATGTAGGTCTGTAATGCACGAGGTTTGTGTTTACGTTACATTCAGGTAAAAGCCCATTGTTTTCCTCTCCCCCTGAGGATATGCCTGGCCTCATTACCAAATACAAACAAATCTACTTACGACTTTAATTCCTCGCCCTGTGTAACGGCAGCAGCGGCACTGTTTTGGCAAGCTTAATTAACCGGGAGATCAGGTGAGTGTTGTGACGCGTGCAGGTTGTGTATACAGATTTCACAAATATGTACACCTGTGAGAGACTGGAGGAGATAGTGGTCGTGCATGGGTCACTGACGCCTCTCCAGGGTCGTGTCCTTCCAACACTATTTTTAATGATGATGATGATGATATTAGTATGAAAATATAGAGAAGACCCAAGTGGTATATAAATAACACACAGTAACACAGGAAGAGGGTATGTTAGCATGAACTACCAGAGTAGACAGTGTCAATAGGAGAAAGCAGCCTTCTAGCTTCCAGTACTAGAGTTTTACTCCAGACGAACACTGAACCACAACATACTGACATTTTTCTTCATAATTTATCTACCTTATTATTACATATATTTCATTAACTTAATCTTAGCCATGATCAAGGCCACATCACAACACCGAATGAGTGCTGCCGCCTGGTGTGTGAGTTGTGGAGTTTGACATTAAATTTATATTTAGACTAACATTAACTTATACCCACAGACAGTAACATGCACTCATGTCCATAGACAGTAACATGCTCATACCCATAGACAGTAACATGCACTCATGTCCATAGTAACATGCATTCATATCCATAGACAGTAACATGCACTCATGTCCATAGTAACATGCATTCATATCCATAGACAGTAACATGCACTCATACCCATACGGTAATATTCTCATACCCATAAACTCTCTGACCATCACCACGCAAATTTGGTGAGAAGCTTCTGCACCATCCTCGACACCGGCTCCCACTTCTACCCGAGATCCCTCGTCCGCGAATTTCTGTTCGACACCACAACTGCATCAAGCCCATACAAGCACGTACTGATCGCTTTAAGAACAGCTCAATCCCATCCATTGTAAAAATTATCAACATCTCTGTCATGGTTTTGGGTCAATCGATGGTAGTATGAGTGGATTATATTATATAAAGATAATAATATGTCGTATTTCTTATTTCTTACCGTTGAGTTCGATACCTTCACACTGGTTACTTACAGGAGATTATGGCATATCTACGTAGAATTTCACTCCACCACTCGACATTCCATGATTTATACTTGATAAATGATGATTTAATGAATTCCATTAATTTCCAACATCCATCTAAGTTATTGGTTATACTTTGTCATAACCAATCAGTCATTACCTTTAGTAATAAGATCGGATCACAGATACGGGCAGATAATTGCACTTACATTTATTTGTCAAGCTTCCATACAATGATTTACAATTTGCATGGATATATGAATCACTCACGTTCACGCTGTAATAAAATTAATCTTCTGAAAGAGAATTTCAACTTGGGGACACATGTGATTACTCTACTATGGGTATAACTTAACAGAGCCTTAATTCTTCAAGTGATACATTTACTGTCAGCCTGGATTGCCTCTGTTGCAACCAGGCTTCCGCACAAGAACTTCTTTCCACGGGCCATAACAACAACAAAAACTCTTGGGTTACCACACATAGTCTCGCGTCACTGACAGTCACTGTAGACGGTTGTCACGGCAAGGAGAACTGGTAAGCGTGACTTGAATTAACCATTTAGGTGCAATAGACCAGCCTGGATTGCTTTTGTCGCAACCAGGCTTCCACACGTGATATTTCCACGGGGATAACAAACCTAGATTAACACACTTAGTCTCGTGTCGATCACGGTCACTGTAGACGGGTGTCGTGCAGGAGAACTCTGTAAACGTGAATTGATTAACCATTTACTGTAGATTTGATAGGCCAGCCTGGATTGCTCTTGTTGCAATCAGGCATCCACACGTGATATTTCCATGGGGATAACAACCAAGGTTAACACGCTTAATCTCGTGTCGACGACGGTCCACAGGCGGAGTGGCAGTGGAGGACTCTGTGTGGTGTGGTGTCCCGCTCCCTTTGAGGAGGGAGAGAGTCAAGACGACTTCTTAACTAACCCATGGTTCAGGGGATACTGTCTTAAAATGAGGTTTTTGGGTGTGAAGGGATGAACAATACAACACTGTTTCACTGCCCACCCCCCTAAAGGTTGGCTAACATACACTAATGGACAATACATGTCCCAGTTATGCCTCGCCGGGTGTCTTATCTCTAGTAAAACAAGCTTTGGAGTTGGTTGCGTGGGTAAGCCTAACGCAACCCATGACAATCTCGTAATCAATCTCTTACCTTTTTACGCTGTCGCTATGTTGAAATGCCCTGTAGTATGACCTTCTCCCCCCTAGTTATTATATACGTATCATATTTGTATCTCTTACAGTATGTTACTTGTATATTATTTGTCAATCAAGAGACCCATTCCCCAATTATGTAACGGTATATTTTCATCCTTCCCGTTGCCGTGCTCTTGCAATAAACCGTTAATTACTAGTTTTATTATTATTATTATTATTATTATTAGAATAGAAAAGTAACATGCACTCATACCCATAGACAGTAGTGCAGTAGCATACACTCATCTACTCTATATCACATGTTTTGCAGGCGGAGTCATTCGTAGTGGATGATATTCTGTATAGTCTTTCGAAATCATTATATTAATTTCGGGTAAAAGACATCACCTTTATTCCGTCACCATGAGCCGGTAAGGAGTTTGGAACAAGAGTATTAGTCTATTTTGGAAATGGATCGAGAATAGAAGGTTTGCACATTGTAAATTATAACAGTAGTATTTCATGGAACCCACCATAAAGGGAGACATGCCCGCCCCACCATGATTATTAAGACAAAAATAGGAGGCGAGGTACACGCTGGAGGAGTGGCAGGCACTCGTTGAAGGAGTGGCGAGGCACCCACTGGGGGAGTGGCGAGGCACTCGTTGGAGGAGTGGCGAGGCACACACTGGAGGAGTAGCGAGGTACACGCTGGAGGGATGGTGAGGTACACGCGGGAGTGGTGAGGTACACGCTGGAGGAGTGGCAGGCACTCGTTGAAGGAGTGGCGAGGCACCCACTGGGGGAGTGGCGAGGCACTCGCTGGAGGAGGTGGCGAGGCACACGCTGGAGGAGGTAGCGAGGCACACGCTGGAGGGATGGTGAGGCACACGCGGGAGTGGTGAGGTACACGCTGGGGGGATGTTGGAGGCACACGCTGGAGGGACAGGTACACGCTGGGGGGGATGTTAAGGTACACGCTGGAGGGATGGCGAGGCACACGCTGGGGGGATGTTGTGGTACACACTGGAGGGATGGTGAGGCACACGGGGGGATGTTGAGGCACACACTGGAGGGATGTTGAGGCACACGTTGGAGGGATGATGAGGTACACACTGGAGGGATGCGTTGAGGAACACGTTGGAGGGATGATGAGGTACACACTGGAGGGATGTTGAGGCACACACTGGAGGATGGTGGGAGGCACACGCTGGAGGATGTTGAGGCACACACTGGAGGGATGTTGAGGCACAGAGGCACACTGAGGGATGTTGAGGTACACGTTGGAGGGATGATGAGGTACACACTGAGGGATGTTGAGGCACACGTTGGAGGGATGATGAGGCACACACTGGAGGGATGTTGAGGTACACGTTGGAGGAGTGGAGAGGCACACGTTGGAGGGATGATGAGGCACACACTGGAGGAGTGGAGAGGTACACGTTGAGGGATGATGAGGTACACACTGAGGGATGTTGAGGTACACGTGGAGGGATGATGAGGTACACACTGGAGGGATGTTGAGGCACACGTTGGGGATGATGAGGTACACGCTGGAGGGATGTTGAGGCATGTTGAAGGATGATGAGGTACACACTGGAGGGATGTTGAGGCACGTTGGAGGGATGATGAGGTACACGTTGGAGGGATGATGAGGTACACGCTGGGGAGTGGCGAGGCACACGCTGGGGGGATGGGAGGTACACACTGGAGGGATGTTGAGGTACACGCTGGAGGATGGTGAGGTACACACTGGAGTGGTGAGGACACACTGAGGGATGTTGAGGTACACGCTGGAGGGATGGTGGCACGCGGGAGTGGTGAGGTAACACGCTGGGGGATGTTGAGGTACACGCTGGAGGGATGGTGAGGTACACGCTGGAGGGATGTTGAGGTACACGCTGGAGGGATGGTGAGGTACACGCTGGAGGGATGTTGAGGTACACGCTGGAGGGATGGTGAGGTACACGCTGGAGGGATGGTGAGGTACACGCTGGGGGAGTGGCGAGGCACACGTTGACCTCAGCTCTCCTCGCCACGTTCTTCTCCATGTATAAAACTTTCTCTGCCAACACAATATTCCAGCTTTAATTTTACATTAATGATTACGGATGATTTATGACCGACAGCCTCGAGTAATGGGCGGAAATAGGAAAAAAAAAACAATTGGAGTCTAACTGCCGGTTTAATTCTCACGAACAAATACGGAAATTAGATATTTTGCACATTTCAAGATTTACTGTTATTACCGTCATTTGTCGACTGTTATATAATAAGTGGTATTGGCAGCTGGCTTGGTGGTATGTGGTAAACACACTGACTTGTGCTGTGTAGAGTTGTATTCTGCAATGGAAAGATTTAAAACGATACGAGTAGGGAGACGTGGTCGGCCCATGGTGGGGGGGGGAGACTGGTCTCACCTAGTGTACACCAGCACTTAATCCCTTTAGTACGACGACTTAAACCCCTGAGTACAGTGCCATCTTACTCGAAAGGATGTCATCGTACTTAAGTGCTAAGATATTTTACACGCTTGATTAATTCGTCGTGCTCAGTGACCATCATACTCGAGGTGTTAACGTTGTATCTAAGCACCACCGTGAGCCTAGCAACAAGGGCCTATACTACACTGGTACAGCTGCGCCTACGCTATAATGAATGTAACTATAAACTCTTAACATCAATGCGGCCTTTGTAGGCTTTGAGGTGTCGTCCTAAACCTCCTCTATCACCCACTATACAGACCAGCGGCTCTGATTCTTCACTTACCTTCTATAATCTTGGGAAAATATCCTGAGAGGCACAGAAACATTGACAATATTGAGACACCTTTTAATGTAACCCGGAGACAAACAACAATGTGTTTTTACTTCATGTTTATTAATAAATCCCGTAACTCAGCCGGATATTACTCGTATTTCAAGGTGTCGAAAGAAACCATGTCGAATATATTTTGTCTTATTTTAGAGGTTTAAAGAGCCGCCAGAACCTTCCTCCCAGGGGAAGTAACGGACTCCGTATGGAGTGACGCAGCTCACAAAAACAATATCATTCCATTTTCTCCTTCCTGGAATACTGTAAACATCTTCGTGATTTATTTCTACAGAACGCAAATCCGTTGAATTAATTTTTTTTAGCAATTGCTCCGTGTGACTGGAATTGAAAATTAGTCTATTGAGTGTGCTTTTGTAAGAGACGTATGGTGTGTCTTCACCAGGTTAAAAATCTGTAAACATTCATGTAAATGTATTAGATAATTAAAATGCCTGTATAAAGAACCCAACAACATTCCATTGCAGGATGCCAGGCATTTATTAGGTAACCATACGCAAACTTCGCGGTAAGGAAGGACGAACAGCCAGACGGACGAATGTAAATCAAAAGATTTTTTATTTGATTTTTCTAGTGGGTCTGAAATTTATATTTCCCCACTTTCCACCAGCTGTTGTCTTGTGATCCAACCCCCCTCCTCCACCAGTTTTCAGTGGAATTCCGCGTCACTTGATACAACTGACCATGGTGAGTCAAGTCATGTTGCAGGATGAGTCCTCTCCCATGGTTGTTGTCATAGTCGTTGTCTAAACACGCCGCCATCCAGGGATTTCTAAACGAATATGCTTGAATTTTTAATGACTTTTTCATAAATATTGGACTGATATTTAACATCGAGTGAAGGCGTATATGTTTTACAATCACTTTCTTTTTTAACTACGTTACAGAGATAATTTGAGCAAGAAAATCCAAGGATGAATATTTTACACAGTGTTCATGAGATTTATTATATAACAATGTTTTACAGTGTGTTTGCTAAGTTTTCTAAGATCCTCCGATACAATCAGAAATAACTTTACGTGGTTGAAGGTATGATGGGCGGTAGGGCTATCTGACGAAGTTTGTTTGGGGCAGGCTGTTTGGAGCAAGGCAAGGTGTGTGTGTGTGTGTGTGTGTGCAGGTATGTGGGTGGTGGTGGAGGCGTGGGTGTTGACCTGTGGAGGCACCACCCACTTTTTGTAGAAGCCTGGGTGGCCCTCACCTGTGTCAATAACCTGCGCCCCCACCACCTCCTACACGCCGCCTCACCCAAGCGAACGAGCTCCACCACCCTGCGGCAGGCACGCCTCTTCCTTCTGCTAGAAAACTTCCCCACACAGCCACGCTCAACGCTCACGTCTGTACAACAACACTTGAGGGAATTTACCGTGGGGGACACAGAGGTGTTAACTCCCAGGCCCAGATCGTAAAGTGGATAGATATCTTGGTGTGTGTTGGCAGCAAAGGTTAAAGTGGCGGAGTCTTGGCCAGCTACTCCCCCAGGTGCTTATCTCTCATCTGTATAATTACAGACAACAGTAGCCACATGTGTCCCACACCTGGCTTGCACATATCTGACCCGTCACACAGGTGACTCAGGTCACACTTTTAACCCGGGTGACAGATATGTCACCTGGGTTTTGCAGGTGGTCCTTTACGCGGAGACGACTTGACAGTTTTACCTACTGTCTTTAAAGAAATATTTTAGCGGGATGTTGGGATGTAATGTTTTATGCCCTCTTCTCCTTGCCAATGATGGGTGCAGGATGATTTGTACCGACACTGTCCCTGTATTGGTTAACATATGATCCACCTGGCTATTGTTTCTCGCTGGTAATGAAACATTCTTGTTGTTACTAGGCGGGCGGCGAGTACTGACCCCTCGCTGTGAAGGTGAAGGCAAAACAAACACACGGAGAGAGAGAGAGAGAGAGAGAGAGAGAGAGAGAGAGAGAGAGAGAGAGAGAGAGAGAGAGAGAGAGAGCCTCCCTCTGAATTTGTTCACATCATCATCTTGCTTATATCCTTTGTAGCTATAACCGAACTTATCAAAACCCCTTTCATGTTTCCAGTAAATACGTGTTGTTGTTTACAAGATGGGGATGGTTCCTTACGTTACTGAAAAGCGACGTGACTTTCTTTTTCTTTTTATACCGTAATTATAACTTCCAATTAACAAATGAGTAGAAACACAACAAGATGCCTCACCTTAACTCATTATTACCTGCCCTGTTATGTAATCACAGGAGATAACTGAAGAATATACTAAAGCCTACTTTACTAGAGTCAAGGAACAGTGTAAAGACCCAGGTGGTGTGCTCTTTTTGTTGCTAACCGAGAATACGATGACTTAACTCAGTGAGTACAATGACTTAACCCCGAGAGCATGTTGAGTAGTACCTCCAGTACGTTGAGGTAATCCTTCGAGTACGATAACAAATTTCTTCGTAAACAAATCCAAACTGTATTCCAAAAGAAATATAGATTTAGGCGCAATAGGTAAACATTGGTTTGGAAATAGTGTAGTGGATGAGTGGAACAAGTTACCAAACTTCATCATTAACTTGATTACGCTGGATAGCTTCAAACAAAGGTTGGGTGGATATATGAGCGATAGGGGTTGAGTGTAAACGGGACTGCTCAGTATGGGCCAATAAGCCCACTGCAGTTTCCTCCTTTCTTATGTTCTTTTGAGTCAATTTCCGCTTGATATCTTGAATTACGTATCGGAGGAATGGGTTGTTTAAATACATGTGTGGATAGATAAGAGGTTGAAATGCATAGACAAATGGACGGTATACGAAAGTTCTTCCTTAGTTTATAGTCACACGTTCTCCATCCGACGGTGAGATGCGCGCGGCTGTTGGGTTTAGTGATGGTGAGGAGAGGTTGAAGTAGCGTGTCTGTAGACGAGGCTAACGCTTAATCGAGTGGTCCCTAGTCCTAATAGCCCCAGTTCAACAGTCCAGTTACTTAGGTTAGGGTGGTGCATTTCAGGACTGTTGGAGGGGAGGATGTGACCTGCAAAAGCCAGTGTGTAAGTGACCCTTTAGTGTATACAGTACCAGGTGTTCCTCCTCACCAGGGTTCGAGTTCTCAACAATTTATACCCTGTACATGTTTTTCCCCAAATGAGGGATGAAAGAATTCGCCCAGTGACGGTACAGTAGTCTCTCACTCCACTTAGGATGCCATATTGGTCGTTAACTCTTGAGCGAACCAGTAAAACGCGTTCTTACTTATTCAGTGAAGGTAAAGAACTTTTATTGCACCAGGCTTTGAAACCTGAACGTTTTAAGACACAAACGTTGCACTAATTCCATTTGCTGGAGACAGTTGTGATTTATATACTGTACAGTATTTTAACATAATTGGGTACATGTTTTCAATAAATATTGACAATGTAACTGTGATCTTTATATGTGTGTTTCCCTGGTCTGTATATTAGTGTGTTTATGTGGTGTTTACATTAACTAGTGTGATTATTGTCGATATATATCAACGTACACCTGTGGGCTATAAATATGAACATGAGTATATGATGTGCTCAACATGTGCAGTTTAACTCACCCCATTGCTCATCTGTAATTGTTGATCTTCATTACTAACATACAGAGAGATTGAAAGCGAGTGAGTTAGGGGCCACATTGACAGGCGTTAACTCAAGCTCATCAGCACGCGAACACGTGCACTCATCCTGTAATTGCTTGACTTAGGTCCTGCTTCAGCAATCAAGGTGTCTTATCAGGGGTTGAATGTTAACATGACACCATTTTTAGGAAACTTACTGTGTAAAGAATATATATATATATCCCGATTTCTTATACGGTAGGATTTTGGTGGTTCACACATGTGTGGTATTTGATGTTCACTCCCGTAGACATGCTGTAAACGTGTTATTTACACACACACACACACACACACACACACACACACACACACACACACACAGACACATGTTTCCCCCAAAGCGGTATTATATTAACTTTGAATCACTTAAAAGGAAATATTAAAAACTGGGTTACCCATCTGGTGTTAAGAGAGCGTATATGGTTAAGGGTTAGTTTCATTTTAATTTTGGTGCCATTTTGGAATTTATTATCGTCCTCAAATGGAGAAGTTAGTTTCGCTTTTACAGCTCCATTTACATCTATCAATCACTTGCTTGACAATAATTACTTCCAGTTCCGGAATAATCAGAGATACAACTTAAGGCACCCAGAGCTACTAAGACCACCCCCATGCGCTCCTCTCACTCCCAGACCTCCATAAAATATCATGGTGTGAAGGTGTGGAACAACTTACCCCCACCCATCCGAGCAAAGACTACGCTCCCTTCCTTTAAATCATCTTTAAAAAAAATATCTATTGTCGAAGTATTAATATTTCTTGTAACACTTACTATATTTACAGTACCTGCTTATATTGTACCATCAAAACCGTTTTATCGGAAATTATCATGTAAATAAATAAGTAATTACCATTGCAATAAACATAATTGCCAACTAGACATAAACCTGAAAGCTCTGTCCTCTTGTTCAACCTTATTACTGCACGACCCAGGTTGTACTGCTCCCCCATTATACTTATGTTTTTAAATGCCACTGTAATTTATATATATATATATATATATATATATATATATATATATATATATATATATATATATATATATATATATATATATATATATATATATATATAAAATAATAAAATAAAAAATAATAATAAATAATAAAATAAATAAATATTGAAGTGATAACCGTGGTAACATTATGAGATGTTCTTATTACCACCATGCTATTGTACTATTCCAGATGATACTAAATGTTACATAATACTTCCTTGAGATAAATGTATAGTATATATCAGGTGCCTCAAAGAGAGCTCAGGTTCTCAACTGGCTCAGCCATGTTAATATTGTTATTATTATCCACTCTGTATCTGTGTTTTTTTGGCTAAATAAACTGTTACAATTCAATTCAATTTACAAGGCGAGGTTAACTTACAAACCTTTGAGAATCAGGAGCCCAGATATGTTTCTGTAGCAGTGGTCTCTGGTGTGAGTGTAGGCAGCTGCCACTCCTGGTGTGACAAAACATTATTTACTTTTGTTAACTTGGAACACAGGAGCACCCACTCCACCGACGGGAGATTATTGGTGTGTTTTACTGCTTGTGTGGGACTGTCACCTGACAACGTCCGTCGCTCGGTGTATCAGCCCAGGGGAAACTCGCTTAATCTACCTGGGGGAGAGAAAGTATTTGTGTGTCTGGGTGTAAGTATAATTGTGTAAGTTTTGTGTTTCTGTGAATAAGTAAGTAAACATAATCACAGACAATGCAAATGTGAAATTCCTGATGCGTGACTCACACGCATTCATCAAAATGAAAGTAGTTATTCGGACATTGGCCTGAGCCATCTCATGAGGTGCGCGGGTGTGTTGGTAGCTATCACACGGTCACTGACCGCCTCTACTACCTCACTCACGTACTTTGTTTGTATCCATCTCATGGTGTTTGTTTTTGTGCATGAATGGAGTGGAACAGGGGGGGTTGTGAGTGAGAGTGGGGCGTCGGGCCTGTTATTATTCACCAGCTTGGCACAACCTTAACATAGTTCAGCGTTTTTGTTTGATATTTATTTTTGGTGGAATAGTTGGTTGGGAACGCGGGGTCATAATTCTGTGAGCTGACCACCAGCTCTGTATAACAAAGTTTGTCTTCATTGAGTGTGGACTTTCGACAGGTGTACATGAGTCCGACTTTCTTTGATATGAGTAT